CGCAATTCATTTGTCCCAAAAAATGTCTGCGCTTCGCTTGAGTGTTTGGGTTTCGCTTGAAGAAAAGTTGGCAACCCTATCGTCAGGTGACAGGTGTTGCTAGGCAACGCGTTTCAGAGGTTCAACTCCTTTGTCAAGCCTAAGGGTGGAGTGAGCCAAGTCCTTTACATAGGGGAAAGGGGGAAGCATTGAGCGCTTTGGCGCCAACTAGTGGGAGGAAGCCAATAGTGGTAAATTGCTACCAGGAATGTATCATAAGAGTGAGAACCAGCCACAGCAGTGCTCAACCACTGGATCAGACCTGTGTCTTCCAGCACAGGCGTCCTGGAATCTTTCTGGACTGAACTGGACTCTGCTCTCTCCATATCCTGATAGCAATCTTGGACCAGCAGCTGAGATGGGACTTTCATCTGATGTGTGACAGGCGAGATGTTTTTTAATATCCTGTAAGTGCGTTACTTTTAACCTTATTAATTAGTCACTTTACACTGCACTTAGATCACACACACATGGTGCTCTATAATGTATTGCTGGGATTTGTATTCCTCTATAGCTGATGGTACATTGTGCTGTATATTATACCATCAGCTATAGAGGACTACAAATCCCAGCAATACATTGTACACTGTATGTATAATGTATTGCTGGGATTTGTTGTACTCCTCTATAGTTGGTGATATTCTGCACTGCGCTGTATAGAGGACTACAAAACCCAGCAACAGTACATTATACAGAGCAATGCAGAATACCACCAGCTATAATGTACTATTGCTGAAATTTGTTGTATTCCTCTATAGCTGGTGGTATTCGGCATTGTGCTGTATAATGTACTATTGCTGGGTTTTGTAGTCCTCTATAGCTGGTGCCATTCTGCATTCAATTCTGTATAATTTTACACTTTCCATTTCACTATATTGCACACCACACTATTTTTTTTTCTTTTTTTACTTCCACCGCTCCAAGCTTGCTCCTGTGATGGACTAAAACCTCAATACAAACTAGTAGTCAATCATTGGAGCCATTTTTAAAAATGTATTTTATTGTTTAACCGATTAATCGAACGTAATAATCGGCTAACTAATCGATTTTGAAAATAATCGTTAGCTGCAGCTCTAGTAGGTTTATATAGGTTTTGGGGATGAACAGAGAGGTGGGTTGTACATTATGCTGTGTGAGTTCTCTTTCAATCTGTTAACATGTCAAGACTTTTAACCATTTTGAAAACTTTCCATTAAATTCTCCTAAACCATTTTCCTTGAGTAGAATATTTAATGATGTGTTTTGGACCTGATCAAAAATTTGGACCGGATTGAGGTTCCGTACTTATATCTGCCGCCTGGCCTGATTATATATAGAGTGGACACTCAGAGAGAAGAATTCGCGCTGAGACACGTTCAGAGTAAGATACTTCTGCTTTATTGTTCCGCTTTACATAGTCTTATATAGGCAGCTGAACGTGTATATTTAAAGGTAGCATTGCAAAAAGCATTTTAGCTTATATATTCTAGCTTATAATTGGTTTAGATCCATTCATGCATAACTTCCTGCCAGGATGCTGACGTCTCGTCTTGGGTGTTGTTTCTCCTGGAGGCGCCATCTTGGTTTCTATTTCTACTGCGTACTTCTCATAGGAGGGGTGCTAAGTTGAGCAACTAACTAGGCAGCCATTTTGATTAAGGATTAATGTGAACAGGAGCAAATAGCAAAATAACATATATTACAATTGATCTATTGAGATAGGCATTTTGTCATAATCATACTTAACCACTTCCATTACAGATGGATCAGGTGTTTGTCAAACAATTTTATTAGATCTCACAATGTTTTCGGTTACTTTGACAGCATAATAAACTCTTAAGAACTCTTTAACATGTGTGTTAGCAGTCTTGAGAAATAGCTCCTATTACCATCTCTGAGCTGGTAGATTATTACAAAAATAGTAACCTCAGAAACATGACTTTGTAAAACAAAAGGAGTAGAAGAAGCATCTATAGTTGCCAATGTTGGAGCATTCTATAAGGCCTGGTTCACACCTGGGTGTTTTACAGCGCGTTCCTACGGAGTCTCATATACTAAGCTTATACGGCATACTACACAAACTAGCGTCCTTCCGTTACCCTTAGGAGAACTGTGGGGAAAAGCACTGACCCCATAGTTCTCCTTTAAGAAACGTGTCTTTAGTGTGTAAGTAAAATTAATCCTTAACAGGTGTCTGTCTTCTGTGTGAGTGTGGGTGTGTCTGTGTGTCCTCTTGAAGGATCATCCCCCGTCCTTATATCCATGTTCTTACTGTGAGGATTCGCTCCAAACGGTAGCACATTAAGGACACCGCCACTCGCTTTTCACTTTTTAAGGGCTTCTTTGCCCACTTTTATTAACTCGCAATTCAAGAGAAAAGTCCACACAGGTGTTCCCTCGCAGGGGGTTTCCAAACATTAAGTACCGTTTTCTGTCAAACAAACATTTTTCAGTCTCACCGACTTCAGGTGGTTCCAAAACTTCTAGCCACACAGGCTGTATTCAAAGGGCTTGCCACACAGGCGATCTGCTCCCCATTTGATCTGCTCCCCAGTCCACCTGCTCCCCAGTCTGGTTCTAGGGTGGGGCTCCTTTCTAATGCTGGGCACACACCTTACAACCATCGCAAGACTTTTGTCTTGCTTTGGTTGTAAGGTAATTAAAAAAACGTACGATCTGCCCATCTTGGACAGGCAGATCGTACTTGCAATGATCGCAAGCCGCACCCCCCTGAGGGGTGGGCTTCCGATGACCGCAATGCCGAACAGGCAGTGTGCGCTTGCCCGTCCGGCTTTTATCTCACGAACATGCTACACACCCGCCGAACATCGTACGATGCTCGGCGGGTTTTCGAACATGTTCGTAAGTTAAAAGTCGTGCGATTATCGTAAGGTGTGTGGGCACCCTTAGGAGGCTGGGAGTTCTTGTAGAGGCCCTAACAAGCCAGCTAGCTTCAGCTGGGCTTGTTACCTCCAAGCCTTCAGCCCTCTCAGCACTTCCCCCTAGAGGACAACCTTTAGTATAACACCTGAATCTGGCATATACCTCTGCCATTCTGGCTAGACCCAGACGTTTTTATCAGCCTGCTGCCACATTACTTTAAAATAACCTATGGGACGTTTACCTTAAAAGTCATTCACATTAGCATAAGAGAGTTCCATACTCTTTGTCCGGAGTCATGTTTTTTTACTCTTTGCATCCTTCAAACCCATTTTAAAGGCCAAGTCTTTGAGAATTCCTAACAACTGTTTCAACTATATTTAGGGTCTGCCTGTCGGGCTCATCACTGATTACCATTTCTATATTCAAAAGTTTTTATTATTTTCATTGAGGCATATACAATAACCATCTACATCATAATACAATGTAACAGAACATAAAACAAAAAGACAGTCTTCATCTGAGCGGGATGCCTTATTATTCCATCTCTATTCAGTACAAATAGATTAGTATCTGGTCTCAATTGTTGACACAAGCCTACCGTTTTTTATTTCGGCTCAAGCTGGCCCCCTGCCCAGCTTCCCGCTCCAAACTTCGGCCTTCACGGAACTATTCCTATTTTACCCCCTGAAGATATACCTAAGTCCCATCTTGTTATCTTGGGGTTTAGCAATCACTCGACCGATGGTCAAAAACCCAGGAACTTGTCGACTATCCCTTTATTTTACCAGAAGCTTGTGTAGGAACAGTCGAGACCAGATTCCTAGGTTCTCCCTATTATAGTGCATCATACATCAGTCTGTCGACCTGAGACTGCCTTACAAAACCTAAAGACATAATAAAAAAACAAAAAGCAAAAACAACAAAAAAAAAGGAACAATGTGGTTATATAACAACTGTTGCAGTAGGTTTTAATTTTGAACATATTAAAATTTTCTGGTCGGGGTGGGCTGCCTTCGCTCCCTTCGTCTCATACTCCTACAGGATTTACATATGCCGCCCACGGTGCCCAGGTAAGCTCAAACTGTTCCATTTTGTCTTGGAGTATACTCGCCAGTTTTTCATGAGTCATAATCCAAGACAGCTTAGTCCTAACCTGGCTCAGCGGTACCCTGGATGTCCATGTTTTAGCGATCGTAACTTTAGCTGCCAGGAATATGAAATTTATCAATCTTCTAGAGTGTTTAGGAGTTTCAGGGATAGTATCATTAAGAAAGGCCAGCTTAGGGTCTCTTGGGACCCTTATGCCCACGACCCGGAAGATTAAGTTAAAAACCCCTCCCCAAAAGTTTTGGATACGCGGACATGTCCACCATACATGGTACATAGTGCCCTCGAGCGCACATCCCCGAAAACATAAGGGCGATGTTCCCGGGTACATAAGTGCAAGTCTAGAGGGCACCAGGTACCACCTGGAGAATACTTTAAAGTTATCTTCCGAGAGTGAGACATTAAGTAAGCCTCGGGTTGTCACTGATTACCATTTCTAACTCAAAGTCACTAGTATTATAGTTTAAACGGCATTTCCAAACTTGGATAGATTAAAATATAGAAAATCAATCATCATTTTGGCTTACATACATACTTCAATATATGATTTTTTTTTTGTATAAAACATTTTTATTGAAAAAAGTTTTCAAATGAAATACAAGTAACATACTACAGATACATACATTTGAGGGGAGACAGTAACAACAAAGGAATCGCAATACATACATCAGGACATGAGGCGGACTGAATACTTTGATTTCCAAGATCTTGTCCTGACTTAGGGAAGTTGAAAAGGTTAGGTGTGAGTGCAGGAAGTTGGGTAGGGTAGGGAGGAGAAGGTGAATGAAAGAGGGGGAGGGGTATAGGATCATGTCTTGCATAATTTTAAATAGTAGTGCTGTTGCACGTAAGAAGCATGTAATCTATAGGCTATTATCCCAATGTGTAGACGCGATATCATAACAACGTAATGATTTAATGCTTAACAACATTCGGTCCTTAAACCTACAGGTTTAAGGACCAATATATGATTTTATGGTTTTAACACTCACCAGTGTGAATTCTCTGGTGTTTAACAAGGCATCCTTTCTGATTGAAAGATTTCCCGCACTCTGAACATGAATAAGGACGCTCACCTGTGTGAATTCTCTGGTGTTTATTAAGGGCTCTTTTATCAATGAACGATTTCCCGCACCCTGAACATGAATAAGGACGCTCACCTGTGTGAATTTTCTGGTGTTTAACAAGGTCTCCTTTCTCTGTGAAAGATTTACCGCACTCTGAACATGAATGAGGACGCTCACCCGTGTGAATTCTGTTGTGTTTATCAAGGGATCCTTTCTGAGTGAATGATTTCCCGCACTCTGAACATGAATGAGGACGCTCACCTATGTGAATTTTCTGGTGTTGAATAAGTGCAAATTTATAAATTAAATATTTTCCGCACTCTGAACATAAATAAGGACGCTCACCAGTGTGAATTTTCTGGTGCTGAACAAGTCCTCCTCTAGAAGTGAAAGATTTCCCGCACTCTAAACAAGAATAAGGACGCTCACCAGTGTGTATTCTCTGGTGTTGAACTAGGGATACTTTATGAATGAAGTCTTTCCCGCACTCTGAACAAGAATAAGGACGCTCACCAGTGTGAATTTTCTGGTGTCTAACTAGCTGTCCTTTCTGAGTGAATGATTTTCCGCACTCAAAACATGAATAAGGACGCTCACCAGTGTGAATTTTCTGGTGTATAACAAGGTCTCCTTTCTCAGTGAATGATTTCCCGCACTCTGAACATGAATGACGCCGCTCACCTGTGTGAATTCTCTGGTGTTTAACAAGTGCTGATCTACTAGGGAAAGATTTCCAGCACTCTGAACATGAATAAGGACGCTCACCAGTGTGAATTCTCTGGTGTTTAACAAAATCACCTTTACGAGTGAAACATTTTCCACACTCTGAACATGAATAGGTTCTCTCATTCATGTTAATATTTCGGTGTCTAAGAAGGTTTTTTTTTTCATTTAAAGATTTCCCACACACTGCATGTGAGAAAAGATTTTCACCTCTGTGATCTCCTTCATGGGGGGAGGAGGATTCCTTGGGATTAGATGGATCTCTTGCAGTGTGAGATCTTAGATGGTTATTTCCAGTCATAGTATGTGAATGATCAGAAGATTCACCCTGATCAGAGGGATCCATTGATGTCTCCAAACAGGAAGGTCTGTGTTTTAAATTTTGTGCGTTTGGATTCACTCCTGGAGAATATCTGGTGTACAGTATCTCCTCCTCATTTGTTGGGGACATGACGTTATATTGAGGAATGGAAATGGACCTCTCACATGGTATACACTAGATGTCCCTAAATGGCAGATCACAGACCCAGTGGCGTTTCTGTTAGGACTGCAGTCACTGACCTGCGCTTAGTAATGGCTGGCTGATTGTGGAAGTGCTGGCGCCCCAGTCTGGTGCATCCAGTGCTAGCTTTAACCCAGCCTTCTTTTCAGACTTATGGCGTCATAGCATCCAATGACGTCAGGTGTCCACTTTCTCTGCAGTTATTAGCTTCTGTTACTGGAGGATGGAAGGGTTTCTTTTCTCATCCTCTCATGCAGTCTGCTCCACCTCCTGGCTCTGGCCTTCTCATGTAGTAATGTATGCTATGTGGGGACTATAATAAAAAGGGGCACTCTAAAGGGGACAACTGATTATTAGCTGCCTCCAGAGTGCCCTCCTACATACTGTATTATAAATATAGGGGGCACTCTGATGGGGACAATTATTGTAAGGATGCGCCCTGATCAGGGCCACCAATCTAAGGGGGAATTCTGCTGTGCCCATAGAACTTCATGAAATGTCAAGGCACAAATCTGGCACAGACTATATTGACGAAGATCTCAGAACCATTATTCCTCCATGACAATGGACCCAACATCTGTATGTAGAACATTTGATGAGAGTTTATTTGTTGTAAATGACCCCCAACCATCCTAACACTAATCAGGAGATGACGACCCCTTCATCCTACAATAGGGGAGATGACTTCTTCTGGGGAATCTTCTTCCCAATGTTGATGCTCCACCATTTATAATTCAGTCTCATCTTATCTGATGATGTGAAGATCTGATAATTCTCCAACATGATCCCTTAAACGTCACACCTTCTACTCAGAAGTGACATAGAACTGTGACCTGTTCCCTCCATAGTGTCTGTTACTTACTTGTGTTAATCGGCAGAGAAATGTCATCCTGATCACTTTTCATCCTCATCCCGACCTCCTCCGTGGACGGCCGGTCACCACCCACATACATCTCCACTTCTTCCTCTTTAACCTCAGCTTTTATATTGTTCCGTTCTTCACCCTAATCCGCAAAATAATAGAAAACATCTCATAAAGCTGAACTCCGGGGGAGATATAAAAGACAAAAAAGGAATGCAGCTCTGTATTTGTTTTGTTTTTTTATGCAAACATTGTTAGTACCTGAATGTGACCTGGTATCAGGTTCCTGCAGTCTCTGTACAGCAAAGCTTAGACTGGGAGAGAGAGAGAAACAGTCTGCTGCTTCTCATTTTTCTGTCCAGTCAAAGACTGGGGGAGGGACAAGACCTATTCGTGTTAGTGACCTACAGCAGAGAAATATAAGATCTCCTGCTCAGAGGCGGCTCGAAGACTTTGTGAGGTCTTAGGCAAAACTCAAATTTGAGGCCCCCCCATTTTCTCCCATAATGAATAAATTTGAATTGAACTGTGATAAGTGATGGTAAAGCGAGGCGGATGTCCAGCGGAGGGGCCCAGGCAGGTCTACAGCCTACACAGGTCAAAACACCCCCCCTACCCGGCATCCTCAGCTTTTTGCTAGATCCAGCCCTGGTTCCCTTTCACCCAGGAGGTAAGCTGATTAGGGCTGCCACCTTTCCTTAAAGCGGAACCCCAACACTCCAGTACTGTGCAGCAATTTTTTTTGTTTTTGCAGAATATACAGGCAAGAGCGAAGAGAGACAGCCAGGAGAGAGAGCGAGGAAATACAGCCAGGAGAGAGAGCAAGCAAGCGAAGAGAGACAGCCAGGAGAGAGAGCGAGGAAATACAGCCAGGAGAGAGAGCAAGCAAGCGAAGAGAGACAGCCAGGAGAGAGAGCAAGCGAGCGAAGAGTGACAGTCAGGAGAGAGAGCAAGCGAGCGAAGAGAGACAGTCAGGAGAGAGCGCGAGCGAAGAGAGGGGGGGAGCAGATCTGACTGGCCCCCCGGCTTAGACTCCAATGTCCCCCCCAGTCACACACTATTATTATTATACACTGATATAGCTCTGACATATACCACAGTGCTGTACATAGAACACTGAGCCAGTCACATCAGTCTCTGCACAGAGCGGCTTACACTCTAATGCAGAATGGCACCAGCTGTAGGGGGACTACAAATCTCAGCAATACATTTATACAGCAATGCAGAACTGTATATGAATTGGACTCTGGGCACAGCAATGCACTGGACTCTGGGCACAGCAACGCACTGGACTCTGGGCACAGCAACGCACTGGACATAGCAACTGGACACAGCAACGCACTTGACACTGGGCATAGCAATACACTGGACACAGCAACGCACTGGACACTGGGCATAGCAACGCACTGGACTGGGCATAGCAATGCACTGGACACTGGGCATAGCAACGCACCCACCTGAGGCCCCACAGAACCCACCATAGATCCTGTACAGCCCACAGAGACTCTCTATGGTGGGCTCTGCAGGGTCTCAGGTGGGCTGGTCGGGGGGGACCTTTCCTTGCAGCTCCTTACCTGCCACAGTGGGCTTCTCACAGCACCGGACCGTCAGCGACCTCTTCCTCCACTGGAACAGCGATACTGGGCCCCAGCCTCGGGGTCCTCCACCTCCTCCCGTCAGTGCCCCCCGCTCGGCGGTAGTTCCATCACCCCGTTGTCTGCCACTGCAGGATGGAGCGAGTCCCAGAAGGGCAATGTGGAGTGCAGCCTCAGCGGGAGAGCACGGGAGTTCCCTCTCTCATGCCTCCGCTCTGTGTGCCGGCTCTCTCTCTCCCCTCCTAATCTCGCTGCTGGGCTGGAGATGGAGCCATGTCTCAGTGAAGTGCCGGCGGGGGAAGCGCTCTGATCCCGCAGTCAGATGTGCATTTCCCCGTACCACCCGCCCTCGGCGCGCCATCCCTGCTGACCCCTTTTGTACACTAGGCAAGTTAGGCGGCTGCGAGGCCCCCGTAAGCAGCCGCCTAACTTGCCTAATTAAAGAGCCGCCTCTGTTCCTGCTCTGCCCATTTGAGGGCAGGTCTTCTACCTATTTTCTCTGAGCCCGGAAGCCAAGGACCCTCACCTTGAGGGCGCATTATCACGCCAGCATGGACTCACAGAAGCAAAGAACAGCAGCACATATTTCAGCACATGCCCTTTGGAGAGCACAAGGACGAAGAGTATCCATGATGTCAGATGACTGGACCCAAGACCCATGGAAGAAAATGATTATATATTTATAAAAAATAATAAAAAAGTGGAGGGTGGTGCAAGGGGAAGCTGAAATGGAAAGGGTGGAAAGGGTGGAATGGGTGGGAGGCTACATTTCAGATGTAAACAATAAACCAACAGAATACGCAGAAGAATGTGTTCTATACACCGAGTCCCACCTACCTGATCATGGTGAGCATTGGTGTGATCTTCCTGTGTGGAATCCTGGGAATACAGAGGACGGGGACATCTCTCTGCTGGGTTCCTCTTACTGGATCCATCTGTAGGAAACACACACACTGACTGAATACATTGTTTCTATGTGTGTATCAGATGATGGGGGATCTAGGTGGACCCTCTGTACCGCTCTCTCCTCTTACCCGGTGATGTGAGGGGCGGCTCATTCTCCATCATGACGTCCTTGTAGAGATCCTTGTTTTCCTCCATGAAGAAATACAAAGTGACACCTTATAGGAACCTGACACACGCAATGATACAGTCACTATTCTGTAATCCTGTTTGAAGGGAGAAGATAACAAGGATTAGGTGTTCAAGAGTCACGTGTTTGAAAAAAGACTTTCATTAGACAAATCCCAAATCGCTCAGAATATGAGTCCTTGTGGGACAGTTCTGCAATTTTGGACACGATCCCACAGTATTCATGCACCACATGATCCAGGACCTTGGGAAGAAAGTTATTGGGTCCAAGAGCGCTCTCGGCATTCTGCACTTATGCCGGCTCTGTCAGGTGAAATGATTTGCCCAACAGTGACGGCATAGTACCATTCATTCAGATGACCACTGGACACCAAAGCTGAAGTTTAATATTTCTCTCATAGACAACAATGGGGCTTATTATTGCACCCGCTGACCAACAATGGTAGGAGCTACAAGTACTCATGAAAATGCCCTGTATCGGCCCTGATACCGATACTAGTATTGGTATCTGGATATCTCTACTACAAACCATCGAATGTGAATGTACAGTTGGATAAATGGCTCTATATTTAGGATGTATCCGGTCTATAAATGGCGGCTCTGGATGGACAGTTGGATAAATGGCTCTATATTTAGGATGTATCCGGTCTATAAATGGCGGCTCTGGATGGACAGTTGGATAAATGGCTCTATATTTAGGATGTATCCGGTCTATAAATGGTGGCTCTGGATGGACAGTTGGATAAATGGCTCTATATTTAGGATGTATCTGGTCTATAAATGGCGGCTCTGGATGGACAGTTGGATAAGTGGTTCTATATTTAGGATGTATCTGGTCTATATATGGCGGCTCTGGATGGACAGTTGGATAAATGGCTCTATATTTCCATGTATGTATGCTATAAATCATAACATACCTCATAGTGAACTTTGAGGAAGATGATGGGTATGAAGGAGAAGATTACCGGGTGTAAATATAAAATAATATCTTTTTACCTCCTCTGCAGACAGTTTAGGCAATGTCTCCTCTTTGCTTCTTCCTAAATCACTTCCAACCTCACTCTTACATTACTTCTTGTTTATCACCCTACATAATTTCCTGTCTGTACCTTAAATCACTTCCTGTCTGTACCTTACATCACTTCCAGTCCCTTACATGACTTCCTGTCTGTAACTCACATCACTTCCTGTAGGTGTCTTCCACGTGAGATCACCACCGTGTGTTGAATATAAATACTGCAGTCTAAGTTATGTTTCACTATTGTTCTCGCTTGTAATACCCCCCTTGACCTCCGGGTGTATTCTAGGATCTCAACTGCAGAGTAAAGGTGCCCATACACCTTACGATTTTCGGACGAAACATTTAGTCCGATGATCGAATAGTCGTACGATTTTCGTACGATTTTCGTACAACAGCCCCATGCTGCCCCGATGATCGCAAGATTAATTTAGCTGTAATTAACGAGAAGCACCTGGACGTAATGCGGTAATTGATTTGTCGTATTTCCGTTCGCGCATGCGCAGTGTAGATCGTACGACTTTTGACGGACAGAAATGCCAGCAACCTTATGACAATCGTACGATCGAGCAAAGTTTTCAAACATGCTTGACCGTCAAAAGTCGAACAGTAATGTCGGTCGGACACTGCAATGCACACATACGATTATCGGACGAAAAGTCGATCGCATACGATTATCGTCCGATAATCGTAAGGTGTATGGGCACCTTAAGTCTGTTATGTTAATTTGTTTGGGGATCAGTCTTGCAGCTCGGTCTCTAATGCCCTGTATTTCTAGAGGCTAAGAGGGAGCTGCATCACATCATACCCCGTAGTGTGGTAGGGGCAGCTTCAGCTAGCCCGCAATTGTGCAGGAATACCTGCGTACAAGTACAGTAATTTAGTCTAGTACAATACCTGTATAGTGTAGGGATATTGTACTAAGAGTTGCTCAGAGACTTTATATTACTAAGGTAGCAATCAGACAATACAAAGCCGCACTTAGTGGTAATGCTGGGTGATAACTGCGAACAGTAGGAGTAGTTGAAGCATGCAATGTTATACGAAACGGTATCTAGCAGATTGCTTCTTAGGGGTTAATGGTGAGCACACAGTGGTATCCCATTTAACATAGCTCTCTTTTAGAGGAAGGTCTCAGCTGGGACTTAGCCCATATACTTGTGGTTCTGATGTCCCAGAGATGGTGAGCCCAGCAGGAGTATTTCCTTTTTAGGTAGGGTCCAGATTGAGGTCAGGAGAGGACAACTGACTAGATCAGCGTCCTGCTACAAACAACAGAAGGACGCCGATCTATTAGCGAGCAGCAGCTTTATGCCGACTGCTCAAACGAGTTGGGGCGGAGTCCCGGGCTGCGCCTGCGCAGTCCGCAGTAGCAGTCCGGAGGTGAGCGGAGGCGGATCTCCGAGGTGCTCCGATACCCTGACGCGAGCGCACTCGGCCCTGAGTAGAGGGAATCCCCCTACGCGCTTGCGCAGTACGTCTACGGGATGCCGAAGAGCTCCCTATCCCGGAACGAACGTCACATCGCTGCCTTGTAGTCTATTTCTCATTGAACTCCAATTAAAATTAAAATCAGTTTTTAAACGGTGAATAAAGATCCATATCGTCCCCGGTGGTGGGGCTCCCAGTGGGGAGATTGATGGAGAAGCTCTCACTCTATGCTGATGATGCGATACTTTACCTGGGGGATGTAGGGCCTTCCCTGACAGCGGCTTTAAGCATAATAGACACCTTTGGTTCCTTCTCAGGGCTCCGGGTGAACTGGGGGAAATCCTTGCTGTTCCCGCTGGGCTCGTCCCCCCTTCGGCTTGACCCGGGCTTGCCCCTCACGCAGGTTTCTGAATTTCGATACCTGGGTGTGGTGGTGAACTCGGATCGTGCTCGATTCCTAGAAGATAATTTATATCCCATACTTAGACACCTGAAGGCAAAATGTATGGCATGGAAAACTCTCCCCCTGACACCGGTGGGTAGAATCAACTTACTGAAAATGAAGTTTCTTTACTGTTTCCGTAATACCCCGGTCCAGATTCCCATCTCCTTTTTTCACACACTGGAAGGAATTATTTCCAATTTTGTCTGGGCCGGGAAAACCCCTCGGGTGTCTAGGGGAGTCCTCCGACTCCCTTTGTCCGAGGGGGGACTGGGACTGCCATGCTTCAAGACCTACTATTGGGCGTCGGTTCTGGTGACAGTCTGGTGGTGGTTTATAGGGGATCAGGATAACCCGGCGGTAACTCTGGAGGCTGTTTTGATGGGTTCTTATGCGGGGCTGAGAAACTTGGCTAGAGATAGGCCGTGCTGCAAACACAAGAGACCAATGATCCACACCGATTTAGTTAGGTTGTGTCTGTCTAGTTATATGTAGGGTTTTTTTTTTTTTATTTATTTACTTTTCCCATTATTGTATTGTCTTGTACTAATTGCTGTTATCCTGTATTGAGATGGTGTTATTTCATTTTTCTCTGTATTGTTTGTGCCATGTTTTATGTATTAAAACCAATAAATACATACCTGTTAAAAAAAAAAAAGATCCACATCGTGGGGTGTGTTAGGTTTTTGGTTTGAGCCTATTGTAATGATATATAGTTGTCATCTAGATTGACCCTTCTCCGTTGGGTCTCCATTCAGGTACGTGATTCTAGGATTTTGGAGCAATTGTCCCATTTTCTGCAGTCATTGCCTCCAGCGGGGGGATTTTCGAGGTTAGCTGTTATCAAACGAGTACACATAGACATGCTGTGTGGTGTACCACTTACTAAACTCCCCATCCGTTGGCTTCTCTCTCTCTCTCCTACATTACCCAATGGGAAGGAGACTTCAGTTTACACCGGATGCTATAGACAGAATAATGTTCTTCACTCAGAAGACCTCTGTTAGCACAAAATACCAGGAATCGGGATTTAAGCTTCGGACTCGATAGCATAGGACACCTCAGGTGTTCCCGAATAAATACAAAAAAGGACAGAACGTTCTGAGGAAGGGGGCTGGCCCCCGGAAACGCGTCAACGCCGCCACACTACAGTGGCACACAGGCAGATTGCAGTCTCAACTGCTGTTTCTTCCAAAACATCCACACAAGCTGTTTTATGACCCTCCATTGTGAGTACCATTGCAATTTTATCTTTGTGTCTTTTAAAATAAAAAATAATCTGCACTAGGTTGGGCGCCCTTCTGTCCTTTTTTGTATTCCAGTTTTACAGTTTCTCCCGGCTGAAGTGGGGCAGCACCCCTAGTTGTTTTTACTTAATCATCAGGATCCGAGCACAGCGCTTTAACTTTACTATGTTCCCGAATAAATGTTGGCGTTGTGGCCAGGAAAAAGGGAATCTGCTACACATTGTGGACCTGCAAAGACCTCGGATATTTCTGGTCAGAAGTTATGTGCATTTTTCTGACATTTACTGATTTTCCAATTCCCAATGAACCGTTTTTTGTTTTGTTTTACTACATCACAAAATTCTATACCGAGACGTGTCTACAAAACAAAACAAATCGATACTACCACGTCTTGTTGATGCAACGAGAAGTTGCATACCTGAATGGTGGAGGCAGACATGTCCCCCTCCATGCTAATGTGAATTAACAAGGTCAATGAGACTGAACGAATGGGGGATACAGGTTTGTCCTCATGATAAATACACCAGTCTATACATTTTGGAGAATGATCGACCTCCGAGATATAGAAATGTGTGACTTCTTACATATTTTGATGAGATGAATCAGAATCAAGGTGCTGATGGTTGGCTTAAGTTTTCAAGATAAAGATTTATACACAGTATATTTGCCTACAAGGGAGGGAGGTGTCTGATGATCATGATGCCTCGTAACTTCTCGACAAAGTACGGTAGAACAATGAATATGGTATCACATGGAAGTGTATCAATTTATCTTCACTTTGAGACTAAAGATTATGGCCTGTCATTTATCTTTCAAAGTATTTTATTACATTTTTCAAAATACAGTAAAACAGTAGGATAGCACATGATGCAGAAACAGTATAGCACACAATTGCGTCTCACAGTCTTCCACATTAGCATAGTAGGGTAGTAAGAGGGGGGTCACTAAATACCCTACACACAATGCATAGTAATTCTGTGAAGCAGAACATATCCATCCGCATATTCTTGCCAAATTATCCCTCATCAACAAGAACTAAACCAAAACTGTCTGAGAGGAATATCAGGAATAAAGATCCACATGTGCCTGAAGAAAACATTTGGTATGACCTCCTCCCTATCTAGGTACGTAGAACACTTTCTGTCCCACATCAATGTACTGGGCAGCTCACGTGTGTGAGCCGAAAGAAAGAGGGAGCAGAAAAGAAGAACAGGGAAAAAGATACTAAGAAAAGCAGAAGAACAGCCAAAGAAAAGTAGGTCCATCCCAGACCAGATAGCCCAACATCTACTTGAACAATAAAAATAAAACCCAAAAAAGAGGTAACAGAAATATTGTACAATGGAAGTTACCAGGTTTCCAGCACCCCTGTATATAACATCCAGGGGATCCAGGTCAATTCAAAGTGTTTTTCAGTATCTTGGAGGATGCTCTGAAGTTTCTCATGGACCATAATCCACAAACTTTTTTGCCTGACCAAGTGGAATGGAATTGTTGGCAATTTCCAAGCCCTAGCTATGGTTATTTTAGCTGCCAACAGAAAGAAGGTATTTAATTTATCCAGAGCTTTAGACAGTCCTGGAATCTGGCAATTCAGCAACACATATTGGGGATCTCGTGGGACTCTCACCCCAGTAACCCTAAATAATAGAGCATAAAGCCGGTTCCAAAAAGGTCTCAATCTAGGGCATTCCCACCATATGTGATACATCGTGCCCGGGTGAGCACATCCCCGGAAACAATGAGGAGAAACCTCTGGGTATATTCTCGCTAGTCTGGCAGGAACCATATACCACCTAGATAAAACCTTATAATGAGCTTCTATTAGTGAAATATTGAGTAAACCAGATGACACGCAGGAACAACATTGATGCCAGACATCCAGTGGAATAACCATTTCCAGGTCCCGTTCCCAAGCTAACATATAGGGTAATTTACTTTCAGAGTCTACCAGGAAGGAATAGAGCAGCGAGAAGCCCCCCTCTGGCCCCCAGCTCCAAGACACCATTGTTCGTTAGTTGTTTTAAAGCGAGACGTCATGTTAGGTGTTTTCAGAGAACCTAAAAAATGTAGCAATTGTCTATAGTGAAAGTATTCAGAAGATGGCATATACAAAACCTCCCGACAGTAGACAGTAGGACAGTTGGTCAAAGTAAGTGGCTTACGACCTTTAAATAATTGTGCTATGCTGTATAGGCCTTTGTCTTGCCACCATGAGTTAGGATTATGGAAGATGGGAGCCAGAGGAGTATGAGGCGACACCAACCCACCTCCTCTTCGGAATGAGTCCCATACCATCAAGACAAGGCCTATGACCTAACTGTCTTTTATTGCAAGGTACATTTGTCTTGGTCAGATCTACGCATCATACAGTTACATCTGGTGGCCTGTGAAAGCGTCATGGCCTAACATTTCCAAGGAACAGTTGCGTGATATTTTCCCTCAGAAGCCAAGATGCCTCGAAACCGCGTAAACAACGCAGATAACTTCTGCTACATTTGTGGCGAGGTTCCATTTGCATCTCAAAAGTGCAGCATGACGGCAGTGGTAAAAAAGGCATGCCACCTATATTTTGGATGCAATATAGGGGATCAGGACAAGAGTTGGAGGAAACAGGGACACCGGCACTCCAATATTCTCACGCTTTTATTGGAGTGCCGGTGTCCATGTCTCCTGCTGTTATATGACTGTTGCCATCCGTTGAACACCGTAGCACCCATTTGATTTTTTTGGAGATTAGCGGTCAGGAGTGCGATAGTTTAATGGATCTAACCAGGACAAGAGTCGGGCCCCTCATTATAGTTGGATTACTTATCTGCGTCATTGGCTAAACAAGAAGAAGAAGAAGTCCACGCCTTTCGCAGTCCCAATGGTGTGGAGGGAACCCATCAATCATAGTAGCGACTGCTGTTTTTGCATGGTTCCTTCTATTGCAAAAGGATTGCATCTCAAGAAAGAAGAAGAGGACCGCGGTATATCCAAACAATGCATCTGCACTGCATCCTGTACCCCATGGTGAGGAGTTGCCTATTCCGGATCCACCAGAATCCTACTCTCTAGACTCAGATGATGATATCAGCGGAACCCAAACAGTAGCCCACAGTGTGCTACTCCTGAACCACATCTCATTTCACAGAGTGGCCTGGTCAGGGATTTGGAACTGCCTAAGAGTATGGCAGAGCTACTGGGCTCCAGATTACAACAGTGGAACTTCTTGCAGAGTGGTGTCAGGAAAAACCAATACATGAATGGAAAGTTATGTTATTGGTATCCATAAAAAGATACATTTATCATGATGGGTTTCATTTCCAAGGCTTCCTCCTTGTAGACCAGGAATATCTGAGATCGTGGTTTTAGTGGAAAGATTTCTCTACCACACCAGAATATCCTGACCTCATGAAAAGTGACTCCTTGGTAGGGCTTCGTGTTTTGAGATACAGATGGAGGGACGGCTCTGGTCTTGTCACATACCTGTCTGATCAGCTCCTGTTTGGGGTTTGAACCCAGGTCTCTGGCGCAGAATTGCACAGACCTAGCCATTCAGCCACTGGAAGGACTTTGTTTTTTGCTGCAGGTTCTGTGTACTGAGCAACTCTCCTTATGGACACTTTGGCTTGACCAGCCAACCGGTTGCAGAAGATCTGCAATTATCTCAGGCTTTAAATACCGGACACTTCCTGTGCTCTGAGCACGTTGATTTGGGTTAGTTCCCCCCGTGCGATGCCTGTGTGTTATATGCTGGACTTATACCGTGACTCTTGCCTGTTTCCTGATCATTCTTCTGCCTGCCGATTTTGTACCTTGCTGCCCGATTGTGTCAAGACCTCAGCCTGCCTCCTGACTACCCTCCTGGATCCCGACTTTGTACCTCGCTGCCAGACTGTTGCCGACCCTGCCTGCCTGACCACGTCTTCGCCTTATCCTCAGCCTAAGATCCACTTCAGACTCAGCCTAGTACAGGTGTGTTTCAGGTCTCCTCATTCCTCTTAATTTAACCTTTTATCTTCTGTCCTTTGTCTATCCCTTTGCTTTCACTCTGTTCTTGTCTTGCTATTCTTACTGGTTCTACGTCTTCATTTCCTTTATTGGAAGAGAATTCTCAGAAAATCATCTGCAGTCACTCTAAGTCGTGTTTGATATTTCCTTTATATATCTGAACATTTACAGAGGACAGAGGACTAGTATTTATCATTATGGCAAAACAAAAGAATGCAATTCAAAAATTGATGCACAAAATGATAAAGTGCACACTTTAATGGTATAAACATATGACATTATGACAATGTTATAAAATGATTACCATCGAGGTAAGGAGAATCCTTCTTCCTGATGACCACCCTTTTTCTTTTATATCCTACAGTTGTTCTATGGACTATCTTACAATTGTTCTATGCACTGAACAGTTCCACCTGTGAAAAGCCATCGTACATTTGTCATAAGAACCAGCTGGCGCTGTCTATTTAGACTTCTTTTCCCGCAGTCAGTGAGGACGCTCTGCAGTATGTTTCTCTGTGGAACATTTGCTGTTGTCTGAACATGAATAAGGACGCTCACCTGTGTGAATTTTATGGTGGTTAACAAGGGTTCCTTTCCTAGTGAATGATTTCCCGCACTCTGAGCATGAATAAGGACGCTCACCTGTGTGAATTCTCTGGTGTATAACAAGGTCTCCTTTCTTAATGAATGATTTCACACACTCCGAACATGAATAAGGGCGCTCACCTGTGTGAATTCTCTGATGTTTAACAAGGGATCCTTTATGAATGAATGATTTCCCGCACTCTGAACATGAATAAGGACGCTCACCAGTGTGAATTCCCTGGTGTTTAACAAGGTCTCCTTTCTGAGTATAAGATTTCCCGCACTCTGAACATGAATAAGGACACTCACCTGTGTGAATTATCTGGTGTTTAACAAGGGCTCCTTTTTCAGTGAATGATTTCCCGCACTCTAAACATGAATGAGGACGCTCACCAGTGTGAATTTTCTGGTGTATAACAAGTGCTCTTTTATAAGTGAAAGATTTCCCGCACTCTGAACATGAATAAGGACGCTCACCCGTGTGAATTCTCTGGTGTTTAACAAGGGCTCCTTTATAAGTGAAAGATTTCCCGCACTCTGAACATGAATAAGGACGCTCACCCGTGTGAATTCTCTGGTGTTTAACAAGGGCTCCTATATGAATAAATGATTTCTGGCACTCTGAACATGAATATGGACGCTCACCTGTGTGAATTCTCTGGTGTTTAACAAGGGCTCCTTTATAAGTGAAAGATTTCCCGCACTCTGAACATGAATATGGACACTCACCAGTGTGAATTCTCTGGTGTTTAACAAGGGCTCCTTTATAAGTGAAAGATTTCCCGCACTCTGAACATGAATAAGGACGCTCACCTGTGTGAATTCTCTGGTGTATAACAAGGGCTCTTTTACGAATAAATGATTTCCCGCACTCTGAACATGAATAAGGACGCTCACCAGTGTGAATTCTCTGGTGTATAACAAGGACTCCTTTATGAATAAATAATTTTCCGCACTCTGAACATGAATATGGACACTCACCAGTGTGAATGATCTGGTGTTTAACAAGGGCTCCTTTATAAGTGAAAGATTTCCCGCACTCTGAACATGAATAAGGACGCTCACCTGTGTGAATTCTCTGGTGTATAACAAGGGCTCTTTTACGAATAAATGATTTCCCGCACTCTGAACATGAATAAGGACGTTCACCCGTGTGAATTCTCTGGTGTATAACAAGATCTCCTTTATGAATGAAAGATTTCCCACATTCTGAACATGAATAAGGACGCTCACCTGTGTGTATTCTCTGGTGTATAACAAGTTCTCCTTTATGAATGAATGATTTCCCACATTCTGAACATGAATAAGGACGCTCACCTGTGTGTATTCTCTGGTGTATAACAAGTTCTCCTTTATAAATGAAAGATTTCTCGCACTCTGAACATGAATAATGACGTTCATCAGTGTGAATTCTCTGGTGTTTAACAAGGTCTTCTTTATGAATGAATGATTTCCCGCACTCTGAACATGAATAAGGACGCTCACCCGTGTGAATTCTCTGGTGTTTTACAAGGGTTCCTTTCTCAGTGAATGATTTCCCGCACTCTGAACATGAATAAAGATGCTCACCCGTGTGACTTCTCTGGTGTATAACAAGGGTTCCTTTCCGAGTGAAAGATTTCCCACATTCTGAACATGAATAAGGACGCTCACCTGTGTGAATTCTCTGGTGTATAACAAGGGATCCTTTGCAAATTAAACTTTTTCCACACTCTGAACATGAATAGCTTCGCTCATCCATGTTAATACTTTTGTTTTCAATTAAAGGTTTTCCACACACTGCATGTGAGAAAAGATTTTCACCTCTGTGATCTCCTTTATGGGGTGAGGAAGGTTCCTTGGGATTAGATGGATCTCTTGCAGTGTGAGATCTTAGATGGTTATTTCCAGTCATAGTATGTGAATGATCAGAAGATTCACCCTGATCAGAGGGATCCACTGATGTCTCTGAACATGAAGGTCTGTGATGTACATTTTGTGTGTTTGGATTCACTCCTGGAGAATCCTGTGTGATGACATTATTTTCTGAGTGCCAATCGGCAGATAATATAAGATGTCTCTCCGAGGTATTCCTGACATCACATCCATCTGCTGGAGAGAAATTATTACACACGTCAGTAATCAGAGTCATGTATGTTAGTCTAGAAGTCATCACAGAGCTCTGGCCTGATATTGGGTAAAACGTAAAACGACATGTAAAAATAAATGAGTTAACCCTTTCGCTGCCAAGCCCTCCGGAACATTTTTCAAATCAGCTGGCCAAGCCATTTTTGAATTTTCTG